TCAAGTCATTCAGTGCCTAGATGACTAATTCTGGTTGTGTATAGAACCTAAATAAATAAACATGTAAACAAAATTAACACTATACAGAGTACATAACTGCAACTTGTAACATGGGTACAGGGATTTTCACAGTTTGCCATAACATCCTCTACTCTGCTCACGTTCACTTCGAATGCTCCGTCGTACACTTTCATTACTTTTACTCGCCTGTCTAATTTAGGGATGGATTTGAGAGTAGTGAACTTAGCGATAGACTGCAAACCGAAGGTACGGTATTGAAAATGAATTATCTACAGACAGCATGGAAGCTTAATCTAACGGAGGTATGTGAAATTGTCTATAGCACGTTTAGCTATACGAAGAAAATTGAGTAGTAAGTACAATGACCGATTGATTCAATCGATCTAATCGATGGAGTATATGCAACTTACAGGAAACAGAAATGTCGTTTGGGAACGAAAGGGAATCCACAGTGTTGGATTCAAATAGGACAGTATGCGGATCAACATATGGGATGAGAGCTTCTACCTCATTCCCAGAATATATCTCTTATGCCATATCACTTGGTAAGGACTGTAATAGAACCCGAAAACTAATTTTATCGGCAGCGATTTCAACTTCGGGCATCACCATAAATGGTTGGTAAATCTTCAATTCAGTAGGAGCCAAATAGCCAATATCTATTCCAAGTCTTTCACACGGTTGTATTGAGTCTGTAGTGAAACGGAACGGAAGCGGTAGCGTGAACCGTTTCGAGCAGGATTCCGGGATCTCGGACAACCACTGAATACAGTCAAGTCTCCTCAAAGCCTCGTTAAATAATTTCCTCACAAGATCGAGATCATTCTCTTTCTCGGGTTAGGCCAGGGAGAAGTCTGATATATCCAACCTGGTTAGCGAGCAACAAACTGTGCGCTATTCGCAATGGAGCACAGCTTCGGTGAAGGAACAAGCCAACATGCGACTGGCCGACCATATCTGCTCCACTGCGAATTCGCGCTCCACTGAATATTTCTTCGAATAGGTTGCCCGTGCATGTCAGCTCGGACGAGGCAAACGGCGCATACCCGGTAGGAGGAAGAAGCTCATCAGTGTAGAGCAGACCTTTCAAACATAGGGGGGGGGGGNTGAGCAGGGAGGGTCGTGAGTGAACGCACTTTTATGGAATGAGCTCGAAAAAAAACTCATTTCAAAGAGGTAGAGTGGGGTTTATCAGATTGAAATCTTGCCTGAAGTCTCGGTCGACAGTGAGTCAGTACATATACAGTTCACCAATTCGAAAAGAATTATTTTGCTCATTTCAGTTGAAATTGAAAAGGGATTGAAGAGCATTATCAAGATGGACGATTTCACCAAGAACCCTATTCTCTATTTCCTCGCTCATGGCCTAATCAAGTAAGTGGTAAATCGGGTGTCTTCCGTGAAAAGTACCACCTTTATCGAAGCTTTTAATCCGACTCAAAATGAACCATCTTTAGGAATATGTCAAAGCTTCCCATGGATCGGACAAGAAATGATCAGCCCACCTCGCATCAACGATTGGGTATTCGTAAGAAATGGGTAAGTTGTTTTCTACATTCGTTTGGGCTTCCGTCATAGTTTGATGTGTGCAGCGGGTTCGATACAAGAAAGGTAGTTTTTGACTATTCGAAGGTAGGGATCCGCTTGAAGGAGAATGACGTAGGGCTGAAATCGGGAATATATTGAAATTTCTAATGAAAAAAGGTTATGCCATTGATTGGTCGGATCTGAACAATAGATCTTTTAGCGTTGAACAATCCCGTTCGGGAATTCACCCAAGCATTCTTTCCGTCATGATAGTAGGGGCGTTTCGAACGCGTATGCAATCTGGTGGGCAAATGATGTAGAAGGCAGTGCTTTATCCTAGGAGTCTGACTATAAGTGGCCGACCTCAAATGGATGGAATGCTTGGTTGTCCTGGGCGGCGTCAAAAGTCTCACCATGCATGTGATAGGGCTGGGCTCGCCTTTAGACCACCTACACGAAAGATAGTCAACGTTAGCCGAAATGATATCTGCGGACTTGGGTATGGCTATAATTTTAATTCCCAAGGAATCTTTTCAACACCCACTTACATCCTTCCTAGCCGTAGCTGCAGTGGAAAAGCTTATCATGGTTAAAGAATATGAAGCTTGTGAACATCATCAGTTGAGCATGGCAGTGTAACGTTAATCCCTTGATCCGAGGGAGAGCTCAAGAAGGCTGGTTTCCAGACGTTGGACCTCACACTTATTCTCGAGCTTCATAAGACTTCTCTGCAAAAGTACGACAATATTGTGAGGGAAATTATGGGAGCTCCTGCCAGATATTTGCCCGATTATTCAACGCTATCGATGTGGTATAACGGATGGCTGTCTGTCTAGCTGTCAAAGGGCAGTTTTGAGAGAAAAGGCTGTGTTTTCCAGATATCATGCTCTTTATTTCTTATGAAACAATACAAATCATCTGGTTATGGGGCCGAGGGGCTTTACTTACGGGCGAAAGCCAAATTGAAAGGCACCACTATATAACCATTTGAGTTTGCAGTCGGTTCGGATGGCAAAATCTCCATTACTCTGGCCATAAGAGAACTTCCAATTTAGGAACCATCCTACTCGGCAAATTTCTTCGCTTTATTCGATCGGAAAACGGGAGAAGCAGTCGCATTTTCGCAGACGAAGTAAGGCCTTTCGACGTTGAATCAGCTGTTTCAAGTGAAACTCAGTCCTTTCTAAACAAATTGATTCATATGTCGATGTCATGCTCACACTCATATAATCGATTTTTTCATAGATTGGCTGTCTAAAACAACGGAAACGTCCATTCTACAAATTAAATTTTTGAATAATTGTTGAAAATTTCCAGCAACAATACAGAAAATTCGTGGAGATCATCAGCTTGGGGCTATCGGCCAATTATAGTCGTGAACAACTCCACGGTAAGGCCACCAAGTGAAAAACTTAGGCCGTTCTGAAAAGCACAGAAGCAGTCTTCAAACACTTGTCGTACATCGCCTTCCCCATGGATGATTTGACTATTTTTCAGCGCTGTTTAATCTATGCTGGTTCTGGAGGTAATATGTACGAGTCGATGGAAATTTCACGAATGGCACATACTATTTTGGCTTACTTGTATTCTGATGCTCCAATAACGACTATTCTCACAACTCCCATGTTCTTCCCATTCAAAGATGGTCACTATTACACTGATGGCTTCGTACTGGTAAGTCCAGTAGACTTGAATGCTATAGCAGCTAAAACCTTAGAATTTATTATACCATGGCTTCGATTAGAAGGAGGAGTAATCCGAAAAAGTGATAGTTTATGTTAGAAAACCCCTAGTGAAGCATTCATAAGAAGTCGTGACATATAAGGTATATTGGGGTTGATTTCTTACTATGGAACACAGAGATTGAACTAGTTGTCGATTACATCAGATTGGCTACTGTTGACTTGGGGTGAATAGGCACCTTCCGTATATCATGCCAACATGATCTGCTCAATTAATCCTGTAGGAGTAAACTGGGATAGGAAGAAATGACATTAGAAGACTTCGGGATCAGCCTAGTGCTGCTTATAACTCGGAGAATTGGATTGAACGGACAGAAACACTAGTGCGGACATTAGATGAGATGGTGCCCGCCCAAGGTGGTACGGCACAAGGGCCATGCCTGAGGACTTTCTCGCTTGAAGGCGAAATTTGGGTGAAAATAGCTTCTAGGAAATGAATGAATTTGCGGCTTTCGAGTATGCCACAAGTTGCACTATCAGATCGTAAAGCT